GGTTGCAATATGTGTAACATTCTGAAATTATAGATACAGTAGGTATGATTAATCGAAAAAAAAAATTACCCGAATATCGCGTTTTTTCCTTTCGTTTACACGCGTTTTCTTCCTGACTGTATATGTATATAAAGAGTTAATTGTACGTAATATACTTCCATTAGATGTCATTACACTCGTCACATGCTCTACACGTCGTCGTCGCCCATTGTAAACGCTTAACTCCGAAGTCTCTTCCACGCTGGAAGGGGTTAGAAATGGAAATCTCGTCCCCGGTTTTTTCCCGCGAAAAAAAAAAGAAGGATGACATCACATCGTAGAAACATCGAAGAGAAAAAAGCAACACAAGAAATGGCAGAATCTCGTGGTGTTCTGGAGAAAAAACAACAACGGCCAATCGGAGCGCGCGGTCACGCAACGTAGATTCATTGAGACAGACGGGCCCAGGCGCGAGAGAATCGCGGCGCGCGTGTATACGTACGATCTCGTGCGGAGTTCCAGGCGCGCGCGTTAGATCGCGAAAGTCGCCGAGCCAGCACTGACTTCTGCCCGCGGTTTTATAACGTACCGCCCGACCGCGTACATACATCACGTGGCGCACGCTTGTTCGTGCGTGCCTCGATGCAGCGCCGCACAGTGTTTCAAAACAGCTGTCCGACTGCGTAAAAGCGAAAATTTTCGATCATATTTCCTGTTACTTGATTTCCAGTTTCTTTATGTTTCTAAATCCCTAAGGATCCCTAATTACAACGTTATTTACCTACAACGATTTTTAAATAAGCTGATATTTACACAATGAAATTTGTAATCCCCAGCGTCGTTAAATATAAATTTTTAAATATGAATATTTACATTTGAGTATCTAGAATTTGATTGGCTGAATTTGAATCTTGAATAGCTTGAATTTGATTGGCTGAATTTCAATTTCCAATATTCCGAATTTACAAAGTAAATAATTTTAAGAAGACGTAATCTTTGATTATCTTGCTTATCCTCGATAATGTATACATTTCTAAGATGAAATACAGTTTTGCGCTGTCATATGGCTGTTTTCAAGCACTATGCGCCGTGACGTCTCATGGAAACGCATGTGCGTGTGTGGCACGCGAGTTATCGTCGCGTCGCGTTACTTCACGTACTTACGCGTAACCGCTCCACGCAAATAACGTGGGCGGCTAAGTCTGGAAGTGCCAGGACACACGCAGAATCGCTGGTTACGGATTCGTGCGTGCACATGCAATTAGCGTGCGGTGCATCAGAAATCGTGGAAAGGATGAAAGTATGGGTTAATGGAAATTAGCGAGTTTGTCGAGCAACGTGTAGCTGGGTTTTGTGTCTCAATTACACGAGATGAATACACAAGACCCTCTTGTGAAGTGAGAGTACTCTTTGTTCTGTTTCAAAGGAGCAATAAATTAGAAAACAGTGCAATTGGAAATCTTCGTTTCTTGCTTCACTTTGGACCACGTTACATGCCGGCACGCTGTATTTAGATACATATATCGAATAGCCATTATCGAACATAGTAGAATATTCGAGTGTTATAATATTATTGTTAGTAATATGGTGGAAGGTTAGAATACGGAAAATTTAGACCTCGAGTAATCGATCAGTTTTGAAAGTGAGTCAAGAATAGCGAGTCAAAGAATAATCGAACATCGATTCGATACGATATGCCATTCAGGTTTCGAGTACTTGCACTCGGTTCGTTTTCATTCGCAAAGCTGAAGTTGTTTAGACCTATTGCGTTCTACTTGATCTATATTAATTAGTTATTGTGTTTATGCAAGTCCTTTTATAGTTCAATTTACTGGGTGAATTAAATTTATCACTTATTATAAAGTCAATGAATAACTTCCTTGAAAAGTAGAGCTGTCGCTCATCCCCCATCGTGGACGCCAATCAATAGCAATTTCCCTTAAATCAAGACGAACGGTAAAGTAGAACGCTTTAAATGCTTCTTGATTTACAAACAGAGGTTAACGACATGCATTAATGATTGTACGGCCGGCACACGATGCTCATTTGTATTCGTAAGTCAAATCGATAGTACCAGTGTCAATGATAACCCTACTCTACATTCAATTACGTGATATTTTTTCAATTTAAAAACTCACTTTAGAAATAATGTTATTCCGCTTTCAAGTGTTATCAAATAACCGATTAAGATAAACAAATGAAAAATTTCATAACTATCTCACGAATTAATCAAGCCATCAAGCAAGTCTAAGCACTGCTGTAACAATTCCACTCTGACACAACGCTACCAACATGCACTGATGTAAATCAACGTATGGAGAAAAAAATCTGACATAAAGATCTTACTTTTCCACTAGGCTTGTAGCACGCTCTGACGTCTACCATATTGTTCAATAACGTATGAGTGTCATCCACGCCGTCCAGGCCCAATTTCTCTACCAATTCCTCCCTCGTGCGTATCATTTCCCAGTTCGCAATATTATATCCCATAGAAGCTTCCAATCGTTTCGGGTATTCCACCTCCGAGACGTAGTCTCAGTCACTATCGGTTAATAACGCGTCTTCGCTTGTGCCTCGGTACGTCTATTTACCGACTTATTCCGTTGATATTCTTCGAGTTCGCTATCACAGGCCCTCTATGTACCTAAACGTCAAACAAGAAGAACGTTCACGCAACACGATGGACAATTCACGAGCCACGTGCGAGCCTGCTTCCTTCCTTCCTTCCGTAATCCACTCACTGATCCCGGTCGTTGTATATGCACACAACGACGTATCGATTTGACGTGCGCGCAACATGTAAACACGAGGGCACGCCGCTCGAGCGCCCGGTCGCCGCGACGCCGCGAATCGAACGAATAGCGCGCGCTTCCATTAAACCATGTATACTATATACAATAGCGTGTATGCGAACACGATCAACAACGCTACAGCACAGGGTATGCTCGTTGGCTGACGAGTAGAAAGCGCAACCTTTTTATTTGCCTCGTCCTGTATCCTTCCTCGCCTCCAGGCTCCCGGAGGAAGGGGAGCGAGCACGCTCTACAGACTATCCGAAAAGTCGAGCACCGATATTAATATTCATAACTGTCTAGATGGGAACAGATGAAAATGAGTCGGTGAAAAGATCGAACAAGCTCGAGACTTTGTTACTTTCGACGCGATATATAGCACGCCGATTTGTAGTTAGATTTCTTAGAGAGATTTTGGTGATTTTATTCTACGTATGTACGTGTGTAACTAGTATTGGCGCCGTATAATTATTATACGTCACACTCGAACGTTTGCGGGTTTATGTTATCATTGATGAAGAATGAATTTGCCTCGCGGTAAGAAGAGAGAGCGTGTTACGGAACGGCTTTAAAGTTCGCGGTCAGTGTGTGCACACGATCGTGTAGAAACGCAATCAGTTTAATCTGATGTAATACTGGCAGGCGTCACTCACCATTTCATCCGCGCAACACCGATTTACATATCGATTTTGGAGGCTGGCGTGAGCACGCCGTGATGGAAGGCGGTACGCTCGAGAAACGGTGTAAAAAACATAGCTGAAAGATCACTATATTGAATAAATGGAATATTGTAAATGAGCATCGCATGAACGAGTTTTTAAACTTATATTAAATTGGATTGCATACGTGTCAGTTATGCGGAAGATGAAATATTTCACAGTTTAAAAGACAATAGATTTTATACACAGTTCTGGGTTGAATTTAAACGAATATCTTTTATAGAAAATGTCACTGATCGATGTATGTTAATTTAACTCCTTTCGAAAAAGAAAGGGACTTGATAAAAGAAGAAAAAGGATTACAGACTACTCCGAAAGCTACCTACTGCTGCTTCATATTGACGCACCACTATTGTGTCGTTATTTTGCATCTGCAAATGGCAGTTTGGCGTCGCTACTGTTATCTGCGCAAGTGCTAAGTGTTTAAGCATAGTAGATGTCTATTGTACTGTCAGAATAGGTTATGAAGTATAGAAAATATTCACTTGAGACATCGATACTTCACAATTGTAATTTAGAAAGTGACCTATAACACGTTTTAATAATACTTTAACAATGGGTTCCGATCACACTCACAGACGTTGGAGCAATTTGCGAAAAGTATTAGAAAGATCTGGTCCTTTTTGTAGACCGGATTTTGAACCATCGTCAGAAACCTTACAATTTTTGCTAGACAATTGTAAGATCCTCGTTATTGGAGCTGGTGGTTTAGGATGCGAATTACTCAAAGACTTAGCATTGATGGGATTTAGACAGATTCATGTGATCGACATGGACACGATTGAATTGTCTAACCTCAATCGGTATGAAGATGTACAATGGTTTACTAAAGCGGCTACGAAATGTTTAGAAAAATCGAAAATTTAATGTAACAAATTACAGGCAATTCCTCTTTCGTCATAAAGACATTGGCTCCTCAAAAGCAGAAGTAGCTGCAAAATTTATCAATGCTAGAATACCAGGCTGTAATGTTATATCACATTGTTGCAAAATACAAGACAAAGCTGAAGAATTTTATAGACAATTTCATATAGTGGTTTGTGGTTTGGATTCAATAGTTGCAAGAAGATGGATCAATGGTATGCTATTGTCTTTGTTGGTTTATGAGGATGGTGAATTAGATCGGTCAAGTGTAATACCAATCATTGATGGAGGAACAGAAGGTTTTAAAGGAAATGCCAGAGTAATACTGCCTGGCATAACTGCTTGTATTGAGTGCACTTTAGATTTATATCCTCCTCAGGTGAATATTTAGAACATTTTTTTATGTCAACACACTATAACTTTCTTTATTTGAATTTCTATTATCGTGGGATATAGGTTACATATCCATTATGCACAATAGCAAACACTCCACGCTTACCAGAGCATTGTATAGAATATGTGAAAGTAATTCAGTGGCCAAAGGAAAATCCATTTGATTGTGCAATAGATGGAGATGACCCTCAGCACATAAATTGGATTTATGAAAAGTCCAATGAAAGAGCAGCACAATTTGGAATACAGGGTTTAACATACAGATTAGTGCAAGGGGTAGTTAAAAACATTATACCTGCTGTAGCATCTACAAATGCTGTTATTGCTGCAACATGTGCTACAGAGGCATTTAAGTTAGCTAGCAGTTGCAGTGCTTCGTTGAATAATTATATGGTACTTATTATTTGCACCTAAATTTGAAATAGATTTTCAGAATATAGCATAATCAATAATCAACTACTTTTTAAAAGGTACTGAATGATGTAGATGGAATTTATACTTACACTTATGAGGCAGAAAGGAAAGAAGACTGTGTGGCATGCAGCCAAATTCCAAAAGAAATAGAGATTAATAATCCTAAGTTTAAATTAAAAGACTTAATAGACCTTTTGCGTGAAAGAGCTGATTTGCAAATGAAAAATCCAGGCCTCACAGCGTGCATTGATGGCAAAAACAAAACTTTGTATATGCAAACTGTACCAAGTATCGAAGAAAGAACACGCGAGAATCTAACAAAAACATTAGTTAATCTTGGACTCAAAAATGGCAGCGAGATAAATGTTGCCGACGTTACTACTCCTAATGCGATTGTATTAAAATTAAAATTTGTATATTGTAATTCAGATATGTGATAATCAGAATAGTCCTTCATTTTGATCACAAATTTATGACTACAAATTATCATGTATTTACAGTACTTATATTGTTTTTCTTTGTTAATTTAAAAAATAATGTCGAGATAAAAGTTCATTAACAGTGTCATTACCAAAACGATAAAAACCAAAACGTCTTCGATGTCGTTTTTCAACGAATCTATAAATAGATATCACACGGTGACATTATTTTGAACATTATTTTAATATCGTTCTAATTTTGTGTAATAAACTTGTATTGCTATTTTTTTATAGTACTAGTCCTTTTGACTATCCTTAAATATAACAGAAGCGAGTATTAAAACTATATTAGTTTATATGACATACCTGTTATATTAACAATAAAGACACAGCTGCAAATATGATTCTATATTTCTGATGTTTTGTTTCTCACTTTCCATCAGAGATCATGTGTCATAAAAAAATTAGCAAGTTGTCATTACCCATAAAATTCTATTTTGCATGATCGTGAACTTTAATCAACGAATTTCGTGTTCCTCTTTAGAAATAGAACAGTATCTTACAGATTATGCATTAGTGCGACTATTTTGAAAGAGAATAAAGGAGCAGTATCATGATCCGCGAAATATGCACGTGTCAAAATCTATACTTGTTAGCTTGTCATTAATTTTTTTTCTTTTAATAACAATTTCATATCACCATATTAAATTTTATGTTAAGTATGAATTTTGTGCACAGTCCTTTTTTGCGTTATATAGACACTTTATTGATGACCTCTGTGCAGCAAATATAATCTTCATTTCCATTGATTAAGATAACGCTTCGTTAAAAACTTCGTCAAGGAAGATACCATGGATGCAATCTTTCCATATTCGGTATACTACCAAATATAATGGAAAGATACACCAAGTAAGGCAAATGAAGGACAGTGCACGATGACCTAAGACATCTTTTGTTTTACAAGCACACTCGGTAACATTCGACATATGCACAACTTGAGTAGAAAAAATATCTATAACAGATACATTATCTATCCTCCTTATACAAAACTATTATTACATTGTATTAATATTTCATAAATTTCGCCTTCTACCTCGGTAAGACGATCACTCCCCAAGACTTTTTTACTCTTAGGAAGATTCGTTTCTTTCTTCTTTTTTTTTTTTTTCACTCAAACGTGAATAACACGAAATGCACCTATCATTAGTTTCAATAATGTTTACTCTAAACACGCAATAAAATTTGCGCAGAGCCAAACTGAATAAGAATAAAATATTTTCTGACGGTTGGGGAATTCTTGCAACGAAACACTCCGAGGTTCATTGGCATTTCATTGTTTATACGGAATCCCAATATGGACATTCATTCCAATTATACAATTCGAAATTAGGTTTTCTTTTTCTTTTTGTTAATTGTATTAGCTTTCATTCACTAGACACCAGATGCAAGATTTGCTAATGTACAAATTAGCATTAATGTCAAAGTGAATGGTGTCACGTTCGGCAGTGCATTCAGAAACTGTAGAACGTATGAACTGTGATTTTGTTAAGAGTAACTTTTGTTTTTAGTGTAATTAAGTAGACATTATTTAAGACGACATAGTTTTCTTTGATAACTCAAGAATGTTTACAAAATCAAAATCGTAGTTTATTAGTTTCTTCCATAAAAGAAACGCACAGTATGAATGCACATGCGATTCACTTTCTGGCTCGGTCAAATTAATTCGCACAACACAGTCATGTGCTCTGACCAATCTTTGTGAAAATATTCACGTGTTCAAAATGTAATACATCATCATTCAGTGTATAATAATACCATGGTCCATTAAAAGATACTCCGGTATAAAAAACGTAAGTGTCAATAAGTAGTGGCATAATAAGTGTCGTGAAAGTCCGATTTTTTTCAGGGCAGAACTCGACACTTTTGTTTTTTAATTGATACGGATACGGACACTTTCTGAATTGATGTAAAATGCGGTTACGTATATTAGACAAACAGCAATGCAGATGTGATAAAGGCATAAAGATATGAAAAATCACATTTTATCAATGGCGTTCCAACAAAGAAACGTGTATTTAAGGTACGGTGACGTTGAAAAGTGTCTAATTTCTGCTCTGAAGCTGCTGAACAAAGAATAACGCATAGTGCACGATGTTAATACGTCATGATGAACGCTAAAATGGTTGTGTTAGGCCTTGGCGTCAACTTCCATCGCCACTTCACCTACAGCTTTTTCGGCCTTCTTTTTTTTCTTCTTTGCGGACTTCGGGTTTGCGGAGGAATACAAAAGTGTCTACAAACGAAGCAGTTAGTTAGCAAAGAAATTCATATATAAAAAACTGAAGAAAAAATATAAATAGATTCGTACCTTCAATTCAGGATCTTCAACGACACAATCTGATTGGTACATATCAATATCAAAGGGTATTCCCGTAATTTTGTGTGGTCCATTCGGCATTAAGAGTACTGTGAATTTAAATTGTGCAACAAATTCGTTTGGCTTTTCGTACAATACCTAAAATAAAAATAACGATAATAGGAATAATCTAAGTATAAATCTTTCAAATTAAACGCAGAAATAAAATGATTAATAAAAACTTACCTGGAATGGTTCGATCAACCTATGATTTACACATTCCACAATAGCCATTTTTGCCTTCTTTTCGTTTTGAAAAGTGCGTAAATTAAATGGCATAAGACCGTGTTTATGAGTGACTTCAGAGTAAAACATGCGTGACGCTTTCAATTTCAGCTGATATGTTTCCTCTGTTTTTTTAAATATAGTAACCCGCGTGTCCTGCTCCCGGCCTACGCCTTCACCGGTACTAACTAACACATCCATGGCATATACCTACATTCGAAAATTCATATGTATCCCCTAAATATTCTGTTTTTACTAACTCATATTGTATATTATATTAAATAAATTATACCTCATGAGTTTCAAGGGTGTACTTTTCATGTTCTTTCTTCTGTGCATCATTTGGATTTTGAATTATAGTTTTTTCTCCATCTATTTTAAATTGTTTTAATTGATGACTTAACATTCCTTCAATTGGTTTACACTTATATGCCTCACAAATCTTTTCTACTGTTCCTGTTATTGTGTAAGTCTATAAGTAGAAGAAATAATTACATGAAAAATATAAGTTTAAAAATTTATAAACAAAAATATGGTTCATATATATAGCTTGCCTCTGTACCAGGCTTCAAAAGCCTCAGTGCAGCCTGAGATGCATAATGTGCAGCTAACACTACATCTGCTTTTCTACCAGTAACTTTTGGTGTTGACATATCTATAACAATAGTATGTGCTACAACTGCTATAAAACCATCAATGTGTGCCCCAAGATCTCTAAAAGTATAAATCAAAAATTAAACAAGTGAAAACATTTATGTTAAAACTTATGACACTGAATGTATTTTGTTCTGGAATCACAAACTTACACTTTTACCATATCCTCAGATTTAAGTATGAGATCTGCTTCACTTGCAATTGGTGAAAAGTGACAAATGCAATTGTTGACCGATATGCATGTAGGAAAAGCAATTCCCTTCTTCAGCTCTTTCTCTTTTTTAAAAACCTTGCTGGTTTCTTCTAATAACAATCTATCTCCAAATTCAGAAATTACCCTTACTGATGCTCCAACAACACATTTATCTAAAACTTGCTTTAGTACCCCTGAAATGATAGAAAAGTATTTATTATTTGTAACAATGGTATTGAGATTTTCAAAATTACATAAATGCAGAAAGGATTTGTAAAAAATTGTATTACACATAATTTAAACAATTTATCAATTTTATTCAACATGTAAACGACAACCCAGTATATTATTGAAATAAAAATAAAAACTAACACAAAACGAAGTTGGTCATACAATGTAAAAGTTTTCGTTGAATATCCGACGGCTGGCCTTTTTACGGAAATGGAAACACTGTGATACAAGAATACGTGCAGATTATGGTTTCTGGTAAAAATATTACGTCGTGGTAATGAAATGAAACAGACGATTTTTAGAGTCAGATAGTGAGAAATTAATAATTGCTTTTCGATCAATTGTTAGGAAAGCTTGAAATATTCAAAATATCGCCCAGTTATCGAAATGTAATAGTCGATGCTAGCTATCCCACATGGTAAGGGAGCCCGGCATTAGCGCGCCACATTCCATATGGCCAGGCGAAAAATTAAACATTAAGAGGCCCGTGGCATGTATGAGACAATTTCACTTTTGTTCATTGGGCTTCATTAGAGAACGTTAAGTCGTTTTCTTACGATTTACGATCTCGCCGGCCATTTTATACTTGGTGACAACCAAGTCTTCGGCGATGGTCTTCTCAGTCTCCTCTTTGTCCGCCATGTCTTCAGCACACTATGTTACGATCACGTGACTTAGAGCTCCTTTGCAGTTGCTTCCTGTAACAGTTAGCGCTACTCACTGTCTCAAGCTAACTGTGCGTTCCGAAATTTTTTATCAATGCTCTCTATTGGCTTTTGTTGTTGAAGATTACAAAAAAATCACATTGATAATATCTTCATTTTTTCATAGTCATGTATGATCTTTGTTCAATAAAATGAAGTAAATTTTAATAAACGCAATAATATTTTATATCGCCACTTATTTGTTGGCGAACTTTCTGATTTCCTAGTATTAAATGTATTAACGACCTTGATCGAGATATTTGAAATAATTATGTAAGAATAAAAAAAAAATTTTACTATAAAAATTAAAGACACCTTAAACTTATCTATATTATTTATTTACATGTAATATTTGGAAAATAAGCGTGCAGACTTTACTTTCCTCTTGACATTGTATCATGTATAATGTTGGCCGACTTGCATCTTTCTAAAACGTGTTTCATGCCTTATGGATCCTGAGGTTGGTCGTGTGGTCCATCGGAACGCGGATTTGATTTGCATTGCTTTAAATTTGAGCCGTAACCATGTCTGCAGGTAAACCTTTTCACGAAATATAATTAAGTTACTAATGCTTCATTTATTTAAGAATATTTTCTACGTTCGAAATATTAATATTATTACGTTTTTACCATTTTTTTCGTCACATAACCAAACTTTCCGCGAAACGCAGCATGCTTTCAATATTGCACTACCATATATTAAAGATCTCCTTTAAAAATGCTGGTTCTTACTTGCGTTTATTTCTACCAGGCAAGAAAGGAAAGAAGAAGAAGTG